AGCGGCCAAGGGCGGAGGCGCCCCTACAGACTCCGCCAGCGCCCTTTGGAGGTCCATCTCTTCATCAGTGGGCTGGGTGACAGCCTGTGGCCTGGTGTAAGGCACGAAGTCGTGCGTCACATATTGGGTGTCGCCATCCACGCCGTCAAGCCTTTCCCACACCACGCCCTCCTCCGATAGGTATCCCTGCACGCCAGCAGCCCCTCCCTTCTGGGTTTGTGACTTGTGGGGAAAGGGACCAAACAGTCGAACAAGTGATTGTCGAAGACATCGGATTGATGGGATTGATAGAAGCGATTGAATGCACTGGATCAATAGAATCGAATGAATTAATGGACTAGGCTGCCAGGGAAATACTGCCAGTCGCCTTGCTGGCGCAAGGGCGGTGCTTGCTCCACTTAGGTGGATGGAGTCCAATGGACTGTCTCGAGCAGCGGTAGTAGCTTAGGCAGCCTAATTTGCAGTGACTGTAAATACTCGATAATTCAATTAATAAAGGCTCACTTGTAAATTAATAGATCGAGTGTAGGTAACATGAATTATGAACAAAGAACTCAAATCAATAAGTACTGTGGTGGAGACTGGTGTGGAATTCAACTACCGCCAGCTCTGATGCTCGACACCAGAGAGGGTGAGGGGGGGCTTATCTTCCATGATATACAGTTCTGTCATAATCCTTCTGCAGAAAGAGTACCCACTTTAGCAGCTAGTCTATTGCCATGCCAAACCCCAATCACTACGAAGGAATCAAAGGCAGCAGCAAGTCCACAGCTTTAGTCCATTGCCAGCAGTGCAGTCCCCTTACGCCCCCACCTGATCTGTGACCAGGATGTACAGCGACCTATTACGTTTGTACATTGTGTTGAAGTGGTTGTTCCTGAAGAACACCGCCAGCTCATTGTCGTTCAGGCCCTCCAGCAGCTGGTACAGCCCGTGCACTGTGAGCTGGCTCGATGTGCTCTCTAGGAAGTCCTGCGCTACTCTCGCAAACTTGGCGTTCTCAGCCTCCTCACCCAAGTCCCACCCGCTTTTCGGCTGCCTCGCTGGTGGGCTCTCCAGAGCTGCTGCTGAAGCACCACTTCCACTCTCGTCCACAGCAGCCTGCGGACCTGCCAAACCTGCCCCTGGGCTTGGGGCAGAGCCTGTTTGCGAGCCCTCCGCTCCCGAGTGCTCTGCACTGCTTGCCTCTGCTCTCACCTCTGGAGATTTTCCCTCGGAAATAGTGGGCTCACTTTCAGGTGCCTGTGCACCCTCAGCCTTCGGTTCCGCCTCATGCGGGCTTACCTTGGCAGCAGCAGGCTTGCCTTCAGAAGTCTGTGCCCCCTCTGACTTCGGGCCTGCCTCAGGAGGGTCGCGCTCAGCCACGCCAGGCACAGCAGACTGCATCAAGTCTGCCGCACACTCCCTCTTTTCACCCTGCCCATCCTTCTCTTCCTCTGCATCATCTTTCCCTTCAGAGGTCCGTGCACCCTCAAGCTTCGGCCCTGCCACAGAAGCGATTTCCTTGGCCATAGCAGACATGACAGACTGCACCAGAGCCTCCATGGTGTCCCCCCTCTCGCCCTCCCCCTCTTTCCCATCCTTCGCAACATCCTCCCTAGGTTGCGCGCCAGAGGTGGGTGGGCCCGGCAGCAGCACAGCATCGTCATCAAAGTTGATGAAATCATCCAGACTTGAGTTGCCACCTTGAACAGCATCTTTTGCGCCTGACCCATCGTCCTGGGCAACCTCAGAGCTCGCTTCAGTGGCTTCACTGGCTGCAGCGCCCTTGGCACTGCCCACCAACGAGCCCATGCTGTTCTGGGGCGTCAGCAGGTGCTTGGGTGTCTGCTCGCCCATTACGGCCACTAGTCGAGACACAACCTGATGACCATCAAAGAGAGGTCCATGTTGTGAGGAATTGCATGGATCATGAGTACGCTGGATGCACATCTGCACTGCCTGTGTCAAGTAATACACCAGCAGCACGCTGGCCTGAAAGTGTGTCCCATGGGACCTATCCCGGGCACACAAGGGAGGACTGTTTGCTCCTTGTAGAGCAGGTGGTGGCAGATGTGCTCATAGCACAGGCCGGTCGATTGGTCAATTGGAATTCAGTTTTATTTCCACTTGCCCCAAATTCTCTAAATTATTGTGCATTCGCTTTGCCAAACGTGCAATCCAACCATGCACATCTGTGCAGAATTTGGGATTTTTCTTGAAGTCTGCTTGCTGAGCTTGGGGCCCTAACCCCTTTTCCCTTCCTTTCTCTTTGCCTTTGCCTCCTTTTCCTTTCCTTGAGGCAGAGCATGACCTCCCATACATTCCATACTCATTAGTCACCCTGTACAATTAATCATAAGTGATATTTTTGTTCAGCTTTTTGACTTTTCTGTACTTTTGCTTTTTTCAGACTTGCATATTCATTGGCACTTTGATGAGATTGGTCAATAAACGAAACAAAAATTACTCCTTCACCTAAAAATGTTTGGCCTGATATTAGTGTTGCTCTTGCGAGCAATTCAAGCTCAGGTCACGGTCTGAAAGGGGGGTGCATTGTCAGCCACTTGACCAACACAGTCAGTGAGCAATTTCGTGGCAAAGGCCATCCTCACCAATGCTCATCTGTGAAGCGTAAAAGCACCTGATTGTAGGACTGATTCCTGAGCACAGTGGCATGGCGTTCATCCTGTGGATCGAACAGCCAGCCATGCACCAGGCTGATGTTCATCAGGTCAAATATGGCCACCTCGTTGGTGAACTCAAAGCCCCGAATGGAATCAAACTTGGGGTTGACATCCACCCCAGTGGCCATCTTGGGCAGCACACCAATCACGTCCTGCAGGTTCTGTCGCAGATCTGCGGCGTACCTGCGGACATATAAACCAGAACTGAGGGCTGTATCCCTCACAATCAACGCAAATTGCGACGCCCTCGTCTCCTTTATGTACCTGCGTTTTGAATGACAGCTGTAACCATCTTTGCATATCTGTATATTTTGAGTCTTTGATTTGCTCCTGCAAGGCAAACTGCTCTTGCACCTGAAGGCGAAGATATGAATAATCCCGTGCGTTGTGTTCTTTTGATGCTGTTTGTTCAGTTCCCTTTCATGCTGTTGTCGCATCGCCACAGTCTGAAGATGCCTTCCATCTCATAGCATATGATGCAGGAATCACCAAACAGGATGCCAACAAATATGTGTGCCACAAATCTTGACGATTCCTACTACAAAACACACATGGAACAAGCCTGCGGACAACGTGGAACATGCCGCTTGCTGTTCTTTCATTTATACCTTGTTTTCCCTTAATGTACTTGCAAAATCTCCGTAAAAGTGGAATCATGCCTCGTCATTCTGTCTTGTAACAATCTTTCTCTTGCCGTTTGAACTGGATGGCGAAGCCTTCGCCCAAGCAAAGGGTGTGCGAGCCTTCTTGCAGATCGAACAGGCGATGCTCAAGCGGCCAGCAGTACCGGTCGCGCCTTTCGATTCCCACAAGATCAAGAAAGGAAAAGAAAAACGAAAAAAATAATCTACAGCATTGCACTCCCTATCCCGATCGAGGGATCCGCGTGCAGTCGCAGCCAAAACAGGCGACGAGCCCAAGCGCATGCGGGGGTCCACCTCGACGACTCGTCCACCGACAGGTTCGTGTCCAGCAGGTGCTCGGCCACCAGCGCCATAAGCCGCTCCTGCGAGATATCCGGCGACTTGGGTGGCACCTTGAGCCGGCCCCGCAGGATGAGCACGTTGGCCGCGGCGATCAGCGGGCAGGGCCCGTTCTCGTTCTGCAGCACCACGGGATGCTCCGAGCCGCAGAAGGGGACGGTTTTCAGCTTGTAACTCGCCATCCCCCTCCCACCCCACCCGCGACCTGCTACACAAACATGGCGTGGGCGTGGATCCTCCCGCAGTGGAGGGATGGCAAACGACGCTGGCTGTTTGCGCCGATCGCGGGAGCTAAATTATCGACATTGTGCCAACCGGTAGAGATTTTCGCACTCCTTTGGACACACCTTGGCCGGGATGCGCGAGTTCACTGCCTGGCAGGTAACCGATGATCGCCAATGCCAACTGTATCCCCCTCCCTTCTCCACCCCGCTTCTACCGGCGCCGTCCGATCGTTCAGGCGCCAGCGCCTCGGCGGGTCGCTCGACCCCCCCCACCCCACCCCACCCCACCCCACCCCCTCCCCCCCCTCCTTCCCGCATTGGCGGAGCGCCTCCGCGAGATCCGATCGACCTCACCTCAAGCCATGCCCGCCCTCGCAGCGCGTGGGATCGCCCCTGAGGTCCGCGGCGACTTGAGGGGGCGGCGATCGGCGATCCCTGCTGGGGGAGCGGAGGTGCGTGGGACCTTGGATGGCCGTCGGCGCGACCGACGGAGGCGGTCTGTGCGTGGAAGTGTGGGGCGGGCTGCAACTCGATGAGGTCAAGGTGGGCAAGAGTGAAGGGTGTGCGAGGGCTGAGTTGGGCTTGGTGGGCATGGTGGGTGGGGGGATGAGGCGTGTTGGATCGGTACAGAGAAACGAGTGAGGAAGGGTCATGAACGAATGAGAGGGGTGTGGGTAGTTAACGGGGCAGTTGGAGGGAGCTGGGGTAGAGGCCGTAGAGGTGGTAGAGGAAGGATGGCGGGAGATGGGTAGCGGGTGGGGACCCTAGGAACGTAGGCGGGCGAACGGGTCCAGGGCGCTGGCATTGAGGTTGGTAATGAGGGGAATCGGTGTTAGTTGTGGGATTAGAATAGTGATGGGAAGGTCACCGGATTTCATTCGGGGAAGGGCCAAGCCAGAGTAGGTGGGGCGGCCAGTGGAATGTTCTAATTAGGTGGCGTCCTTACAACAGGTCGGCCTGCCAGATTCCGTGGAGAACGCACGAGGCGATCTGTGCAAAAACAACGCTCCATGTAAGTGGAAAGGGGTCTACACCAGAGACGGCAAAGGCACGGGCTAACCGACCGTGTGACTGTGCCACCGGGCATCCTTTGAAGGGCCGGCTAGCCATGCTACAATTTGTTTGCGCCGGCTTAACAAGGTGGGTGCAATGCACTATGATCGACGTTGATGATCCAAACAGGATCACGGGATAGACCCTGAAGCTGGATATGGGCAGCCTGATTGCGATTGGTCCTTGCGCAGCACCCCTGCAGGCCGCCGCAATCGCACAAAAGCAGTGCAAGCAGCTCAGCATGTGTGTAGGAGCATTCGTGATGCAATTGCTCAGCACGGGTTTGAGATTGCGGTTGATCCACCACAGCACTGCATTGACAAGGATAGGCAACATTTGTATGCACACCTTGGCTATGTACTAATAGGCAAGGGATGCGATTTTGCAGACGGGAGCGGTTTTCAAAAGGAGTGCGAGTCTCTCAGGACGTGGCATGGGAATCAGATAAGAGACTTGAATGTTAATGCTGATAGCAATCTCATCGTGAGGTAGAAGAGAGGTTGTGGTGGGTTTAGCCAGGTGTACAAAGGCCAATGGAGGCACGTCAGTGTTGTTGTCAAGACAATGAAATCAAATTGGCAGTGATGCTCAGTTGCCCATGGAAGATTTTGCCGAAGTTTTCAAGGAGGCGTCCATGGTTTTGTCACTGAACCATCCTCACATTGTTCTATATTATGGCATTACTAAATCTGGGCGGATGGTCATGGAGTTGGTCGATGGTGACCTCAGCACTCTGTGTATCAACAGGACATTGACTCGGCCTGTGATGGTCGATGTACTGGAACAGGAAGCATTTGCACTGAAGCATGTGCATTGTAGACGAAATCCTATGGTTCATGGCGACATCAAGGACAGATACTTCCTGTACATAGCAAAGGCCACTGTAAACTATGACATCAAGCTTGCCGGTTTTGGGCTGTCAACAGAGGTGCGTAACCGGCAGACACACACAATGAGGGAGGCCTGAGCGGCCCTTTTGTGCAAGGCACCAGAGCTTTTCGATGGCAAGAAGCCCTCCCTCAAGTCTGATGCTTACAGCCTTGATCTTGCCATGCATGCATTTGTTACAGGGCTCACACCGTATGGAATTAGAACGAACGAATTGGCCGTGATGTGCAAGAAACTCACCCCCCCCCCTCCCATAATTCAGGACAGCGACTGCCCTGGCGAGTTACGTGAACTGATGCAGTGGTGAGTTGCAAGGGTTCCTGAGGATAGGCCGACCATGAGTGAGGTCACTAACTGCCTATCAAGGTTGCCGAGAGAGTGGCAGCCAGGTCAGCAATGAGTGCATGCATTGTAATCAATTGTGTAGCTAGTGAACGCATGGTGCATGCATTGGAATTTCGTTGAGCACCGTCAGTCACAAGGTGACCCGGTGAGAGGCCTTGAGAATTTCGAATTTGGGCTGAGACGTGCAAGCTCAACATACGGCCTGATCTCTGTACATCTCCGTTCCTAAAAATGGATCCAATCGACAAACTCAGACAATGCTCTGGCCCGATTTTCAACAGAAATAGTAAATTGTGTAGATTGAACGGTACCCAAGCAAATCCGACGCTAGGATGAGCTAATAAACAACGATCTGGCAGCAGTTTATTTATTTGTTTTTAAGAATTGCAAGCAAACAACACCGCTCACAATTACATAGAAGTGATGAAACGATATTGTTTATTCACATTAATTGCCAATTAATGCCGGCTAATTTATTGGGCGAAACAAGAGGCTGGGGCAATATAGAGTGATATTGCTTTCGGCCTCACAGAGCAGCGCTATTTTGACATGTAACAAGTCTTCATCCTTTGAGTTGCCCTCTTTCTGCAAGAATCTCACTGTTTCTCGTCATCAATAATGTGACGAGCTTATTATTGCTTCAATGACCGCCGATTTAAGGTATCAAGCACTCAGTCTCTATCGCTTCAGCGGTCTTTCTGGCCCTGACCCGCAGCTTCCCCACGCACCCCACCCCACGACAGGCGGCCCATAGCACCGGGTCCAACCCGCGTTGACCAGTCAACGCAAACAAAATTCAGTCAAGACAAGTCAGCGTTGGCGAGGCGGACCGCGCCGCCGGCGGGCGGCTTCCAATTAGGTGCCCACGCCAGTTTCCCCCTCTTTCCCCAATTTTCAAATCCCGAACGGCAGGCTCGCCTCCCCGCCAAAAACGTCCGTGGAAAGACTGCGCGGGTGGAAGGCGCGGAGCAGACGGTGGCGTGTTGACTGCCATTCGGTTGACCACTCCCGGACGGTGAGCCGGCGCTGCTTCCTCGACCGGCTGCGCGAAAATCCGTGACGGTGCGCGTCTCGCGTCCGGAGGCTGGCTTTCTTTTGCCAAGTGTGCCGTGTCGCCCGGCTGGCTGAGGCGGGAAACGAGAGTAGAAGAGTTTAAAGACGCCGTATGTTTCAAATTTGACCCGCGGGGTCAACCCTTTTTCGCGAAAATAGTAAATCTTAGTATTTTTGTCTTTCATTGTACATTTTTTATCCCGGAAGGGTGTTTTACGGTAGGCAGCCAGCCGAGCATCCCTATCAGTGGTTCGTAGGTCTGTATGTGCGGGTTTGGGGTCTGAATCGACGAAGACGGTTGATCACAGAAGAGCAAATTTTGTGGCGAGAACTACAGGCATGAAGGACATCAACGGGGTGCCCCCGCAGTCCTACATCCTGGCCTTTTCTTGTGAAATTCGACGATAATGGGCGTGCAGGAATAATACATAGGAAACAAAATCGTGGCCTCCACATGTACCAACCACACGTCAGGAGACACGACATGCCGTGTGTCGGCACACAACCCACAGTTTATCCAAATTGACAACGTCAGGATCGATGGTCATATTTCCCATCGACGAATGCCATTGGGTATACATGTGCTGACATTGGATATTCATCATCATCATCATCATGATATTTTTTACAGAACAAGGCGATGAGGTAGCCGTCAGCTTCCTATTCTGCCTGAGCAAAGCAGAGTCGGCGATTGGTCATTGGTGATTGGATATTCACCGACACCAAGATATGGCGATGCTGGCAGCAATTGCATTTCGTTACAAAACGAATTCGGGATGGCATGAATGACGTCGACATCCCATACGTCACGCGTCACGTGTGTCATCAACGATACTTAACTCACATGCAGCGCGGTGCGGTGGGTGCCATTCCGCCAAAATAGACATTGCTTTACATTTTTTCTGCATCTCGAACGCCAACCCATATCCGACGTTCCCTGCCCTTGACGCCTCTCCCGGAAGAGCATCCAGAAGAATTCCCCTTCTAGATGGGCAGGAATAGTCGGCAGATCTGGCGACTATTTCTATCACAGCCACCCCCCAGACAGCAATACTTGACCCATTTCCGATGCGGCTTGTATTAAGGCGTTTACTTTAGCCTCAGGGTATGTTCGCAAGGTGAGGTCACACGTTGCGGCACACGATTCTCGCCAGTGCAGCGCGTTTCAAGCAGATATCTAAGTGTGTCAAACGGCCCATTTCTATCAGTTCCCCTGGACCATGGCGTTGCAGCCTCCCTCCGGGAGGTCCATGCTGGGGAGGCAGGCGGACTCGAAGAAGCGCACCAGCCCCATGTACAGCTTCGGAGGCTCTACTCGGGAGGGCCTCAGTCGCGTGTTCATCACCTCCAGACACGCCGAGGTGATAACCCCACTGGAAAACAACTGCACCGAGAATGCGCTTGATATGGCGCAGTTTTGGCAAGCTCGATTTTTGCACTCTTTGCGCTATCTACGAAATGTTTTCGGCAATCAAGAAAAGTACATGGAAATTTTTACGTCGTGCAAAAGTTAATTTCAACTTTGTATTGAATTGATGATCTGTTCAATATCCTGGTACAATAGGTCAAAACTGATAGAATAAGTGGTGCTCTGAGTCAACAATTGATGGGAAGTCTTC